TGAAGAGTTATCAGGGTAGCATTGCGCGAATCTTGATTCTAAGAAAAAAAGAAAAAGAAAGTCTCCTTTTATGGTGGGATATAGAAGACCAGTGTGGACCAATGATGTCTGAATAATCAACATCATCAGCCTTGTCTGGGTCAAAGGCAGAGAGAAGGTCAGCACCACCACAAAACAAAAGCATGATAAATAAATAAACAGATTAAAAAAAAAAAGGAAGCATTTGTGCGTCTGCTGGCCCCACACACAGACAAGGCCGCTGAGAGAGTCAAGCCTGGCTGAGCTCTTTGTGCCGAGAAGAATGAGGCGGTGGAAATGACCTCCGCGCTCGTTGAGGCCCGGGGTCACGCGGGTCAGCGCGGCCCACTGCGAGCGTACCCTTGGAGGGGAACGGCGAGGTCGGCCGAACGTCTGATCCATGCTCCCAACAAAGAGCCAGGATGTTCTGGAACAAAGGCCACTTCCTGCGGGAGAGACTGGGAAAAAAACACGACCAAACAGCCCCCTCGACCCCACATGGCCGCCTTTCCCCCGCTCCTAACCAAGAATCTAATTTCCTTTCGGCAGCCAAAGAGCGCCAGATATTTGGTTTTTTCCCTCAGCGGGCTTCTCGCTCGGCTTGCAATCTCCACTACTGTGCGCTGCAACTGCTCTCAAAGAGCGTTTTTATCAAAAAGAGAATTTGTTGGAGCCTCAGCCTCAGTACAAAAGCACACATTCATGATAGCCTTATCCAAGGGCGTATGGTAGCAGGAGTAGCAAAAGGGGAAAAAAAAGTCTATAAGCTTGCCTTAATTATAGAATCTCACAGAAAGGTTGAACACAAAGCCCGAAAACAAAAGGAAAGGACACCTCATTCTATGCGTATTCATTTGACGTGGTTTGGATCACAGAAATGCTTTTTAATTATGGTTATAAAACCATTACAATACTAAAATCTGATTGGCACGTTTACAGTCATTGTAAAATAATGTTTTATTTTGTTGTTAATATGTTTACATCATTCAAATCATTTGAATTCTGTATTAGTATAAACCAGCGTTGGTTTGTGCTGTTAACAATGGGCTATTTATCAACAATGTTGTTGTAGAAGAACTGATTACTGGGATAACTCAATTATTTATTGAGCATTTTTGGCCATTGTTTTTAAAATAATAAGCCACTAGAGGTTATGCACTCGTGATTTTTACTCCACTTAGCATCATGCCTAACATTACTTAATTAGGAAAAATAAAAAAAATAAAAATAAATAAAAAAATCACTGTAACATGGCCATTCTCATGGCTTACTGCTTTATTTTGTCCTGATATGAAGTTCCAAGTAGACTTGTGTTGAATTTCAAAGTCTACTCACAGCATGGCTGTGAACTCAGTGAATTCTTTAGTCAGGGCCAGATGTGATAAATCATACTGCTGAATATCACTCAGTCGCCATGGAGCCGTCCTTGGCAAAGGCTGCTGTTTTTTCATCCACACCTGAAATCTCACACACCTTTGCAGACTCCCCTGGGGAACAGCAGGGCATGGCAGGTGAAGGGTTAATAGTTTGGACTGTACGATGTGGATAAAATACTTGCACTGCGATTACACTGCTACATTGTGATTTAGATATGCATACAATATGTTAAAAATGCACTGGTGAATCAATAACGTGACATTGTTAAATACTGCTCTGCATAAACCTGGAACTGTGACTGGTCAAAGAACACCATAAAAAAAACCCAAAAAAAACACAATGTTAATTTGCATATTGCAGCCTACTGTGATATTAACAGTGCAAAGGCCAATACTGGAATGATGATAAACAAACAGTATAATGTGCAGCCCTAGTTCAGGGGTCGGCAACCCAAATGTAAAGAAGAGCCATTTTGTCCTTTCAACAAAAGGGAGCTCAGCTATAGCGGCTTTTCTCGCATCTCCAGCAGGAAATTTTTCTTCAAAAGTGGAATAGTTTCTTATAAAAAGCCTCTCAATGTTCTTCTCATTCCGGCAGAACGGGAAAATTCGAACAATGGGCTGGCGAATAAAAAGTTGACTTCAGCTTCACGACTTTTTAGTGTTTGACAGTTGCAGATTAAACATATCGGGAAACCAGCTGGAGTGATTATAAACACATTATCGATGTTCATCTTTGATCTCTCTATTTGCCTTGTTGCTATGGTGACCAGCCGTCTAACATTTGGGGTTAAAGGGTGAATTAGCAGTTCTACATTAACTCCAGCGTTTAAGACCATTTATTGTTAAAACTGTGTTGAACGATCAGCAGAGCTTCATTTTACTGCAAAGGAGAATTATTTTATCTTTACCTAAAAACCTAAATATGCTGTGGAGCCACAACAGGGCAGTAAAAGAGCGGCATGTGGCTCCGGAGTCACATGTTGCCAACCCCTGCACTAGTTGCAAAATCTATAATTTGATACAACATGGTGGTGTTTCAATTAGGCTTAAAATGAAAATAACGTTTTACGCGAAACGTTATTTTGGCAAAAATGATGCGGTGGTTTGAGCACTGCTTCCTCAAAAGAACTCCTGATGATGTGTGATTGATCCACTGTATAACACAAGCTTATACTTACAACAGAAGTGGTAAGCAGTTTAATTTAGTTCTTTAATCATTTGAAGTGTACTGCTGGCTGGACAATTAATCATTTTTATATCAACATCACAATCTGAAAGAGTGCAATTTTGAAAAATCTCATATTATTCAACGTCATCTTAAGTATTAAGAGGGGAAATTTAAATATGCAGAATGCAGAGCTCACAAACTGGTAGTCTGGCAAACTACATGCAGTCCAGAAAAAGTCCAAGTCCAAAAAAATACATTTGCTGGTCTATTTAGTGAAAAACAGGCTTAACTTATAAAAAATAAACCACATTAAAACTTCAATCGGAAAACTGGGTCAGGAAAATTGCAATCAGATATTTCCCCCAATTGGCTCAGCCCTAGTCTCAACTCAACATGTTTTTGATACAGCAAAACCAAAAAGTGGCTGAAAATGTGCCTCAAACAGCCCCAAGTTAATACATTAGCCACAAGCTAATGCTATTCATGATAAAACAATATAATATGACACAATGTGATACAACACAATACAGTGCACTGTTACATCCCCATCTCAAAGAGAATCTGCTCAGGTACAAAACTGCTTAATTGAAGGATGTAGCTACGAGATAAAAGAATCACAAAGAACATCACAATTGAGCCATGTTGTGAGAAGATGTCCTGATGACTGTACATTTTGTGACTGACTCTACATAAGGCTTTGAGTCAGTAAGCTCTGCGCTTAAGTCCACCTACAAGCCTTCATTCAAACATATGCTGGTCCCTTAAGACATCTTCTAAGAAAATGTCAAAAAAACAGTGCCAGTACAAGCCAATTAACTGAAACAAAGAAAGAAAGCCCCCTTTGCTTTCAAACCAACAGATGCATGAATGGCCTCAATGCAGTACAGCCAAGCTCTGCGGAGCTCCTTCAAAGCCAACTGCAACCACCAGCCTTATTTTAGTCTTACACAAACATAGCTAGAACTCAGCAGAGCATGGCGTGGGTTTGCTGTGTCTAACTGTGTCGTGGTGATCTTGGGGGGAAAAAGAGAGTTCAGCTAAAATTCTGAAGGTAGACAAAAATAGGTTTTAACAGATAAGAGTCGATGGAAATCTTGAATTAGAAACTCGATTATAAACATTTGAAACTGACCCTTAAAAATTCTAAAGCTTATTGGAAACCCATAGCTGGAAATAGTTGATGGTCCTTGATAAAGCACTTGCTGGCAATGCAAATTCCTCTCTTTCATTTATCGTTCATCATCAGGAAGTACAATCGTAATGACTCACAATCAGCTCTTTTGTTAAATCAGCAATAATTCAGGGCTTCCCTCGTGGTCAAAACCAAGAACTAGCATTTTGGCCGATACTGCTTGAGTGTCACTGGGTCAAAAAGTATAACTTTAGAAACGTTTGTGTTCTCCACCTCCACCTGAGCATACTGATTCAACAGAAGAAATGGGTTGGGCGCACACGTTGGAACACCTCTGGTAAAGTAACATGTTTCGTTGATAAGTCCACAAAGAAAACACTTTTCTGTAAATTTTAATGCACAGTTTCTATTTATTTGCTGAGTTTAACATACTGGGGAAAAAAACATTACATAAAATGTAAAATGTGCCACAACTTTTGCACAAACCACATTTTATGCTTGTTTTTCCAAAGTTCAGCAAATAAGCAGTTCAGTTAATTGTGCATTAAAATGTGCAGCAGTGTGCTCTCTGTGGAGGATGTGTTAACTTACTTTCACTTCAAAATCAACAAAACACGCCATTTGACCAGCAGCGCCCAAACTTTTCCAAATAACTGAATTCCCAGGGGTGGCCTGTGCCATGGATTTGTGGCCCTTGAACAGCCAAAACATGCTTTGTGTCTGAAGTGTGCTTCTTTAGTCTTGCACTTTTGCACTAGCCAACAAGTAATGGAAGCTTATACCCCTCTGCAAACTGCAGGACTAAAACCATTGCACATTTGCTTCAAACCACATCAAATAGATCTGTTTATGTGGTTTCTGACACTGACATGACAAACAGTGTGGACAAAATTAAGGCTTCTACTCCAGGTGAACATTATAACGAGAACATATCACAATACTTCAAGACATTTTTACATACACAACATGCATCGAAATATCTTTTTAAGGTTTGAAAACAACAAACAAAGCATCAGTGTTGCCACATTTTAACAAATCAGCAACGGAGAATCCACTAAAACAGGACTAATCACGCTCTATGTGTAACAATACACGCTGCTGGTCAGTGTTCTTTAAGTACTCACTATACTGACGATGCTCCAAAAACCATATTGTGGCGTAATTATCATGATAACGATAAACATCCTCATATTTCCCGCCCCTATTGCTGGTTTTCAGCTATATCACACACTTAAATCCATTTTAAGCAATTGATCATCAGTGACCAGCATCGTACAAACAGACACAGAACACAAAAACTCACCATGGTGTCCCGTATATCCTGAATCCTTTGACCATGACCTCAGAGTCCTGCAGGTAGATGCAGTTCGTAAGGAGTGACTGAACATTATCAAAGTCCTCGGGCCTCAGCTTGGACACGGAGGGGAAGCGATAGTAGTCCTGCTTGACCAGTTCAGCCATGAAGTCCTTATCGAACGTCAGCTCATGGTTTCCAGCAATGACCACTTTGAACTCGTAGGGGAGAGTGCCTGCAGACGGACAAGGAAAACTTTTATGGCTGCAGTCTCTGTTAGAACAAAACTAGGGCTGTCATACTCAAAGTAAATAATGCATTGGTTAATATTTACCTTCTCGATGCCACATAATATTTTGATCAGTTTTTTTTAAGTGTTGTTAAAGGCCTCCAAGTTTATCTGCTCAGTAACTGAAGCATGGTATTTTGGAATCTTTGAAAAGCCACGCATGGTTTGTAATGATTTACTGAAATTCATTTTTATTGTGGGGTAAAGGAACTGATATAGCTTGACATCCAAGCCAGGATAAATGCACTGTGTAAAAGTACAGTGTTAATACGTACAGATGTGACCCAAGCAACTCCATAAGCTCAGTGACCGAACATGAGAGAGTGGGTGTGTCAATGTCTGGCCAGCACAATTAATTGCGCATTAGTCAGATTTGCAATTTTGGCCTCTGAAGTTAGTTGCAAAACACTGAGATTAATGCATTCCTTTTTTCAGTCCTTCTAAGCTGTTTAGCAATCAAGCATTTCTAGCTGTAAACAGTCCTAATCATTAAATTAGTGTTCACACATCAGATATTTCTGTTTGTGCCAAATCACGTGTATCCAAAGACTGCACTAAGCACTAAAATGTGCTAACCACTCCAAAAAACTACAGTTATCACAGAGCTAGTTTTGAACATGTGATTTAAAACCTACTACTGGAAAGGGCTTTTTAAAGAACAATCATCCTTTTGCTCTGGTCACAATTTGTCCCTAACTGGCCATGATCAGCTGTCAGCACGCAGTCATATGCAAAAGTTTGGTCAAGTTAAAACATCCTCTACAGACAATGGTATTTTTCTGCTAATAAAAGTGCACAATTTCTATTTATTTGAGGAGTTTAACATACGGAAAAAAAGAAAAACATGAAAATGTTCAAGTTTTAGCCACATTTCATGTATTAAACAGTAAGTGTGTTTTAAAATGTGCAGAAGCATATTATCTGTAGAGGATGTGTTCACCTACTTTCACTTAGAAAATCAACAAAGCATGTAATTTGACCTGAGTACCCAGACTTTTGCATACAGCTGTGAACAACGCGATAACCCACATAAACTTATTTACATAACCTGCAACAGTATAAATTTACCCAAGTGACAGACAGGCAGCGGTTGTTCACACTGCTGTCTGTGGAGCGGCTGAGGAAGTTACAAATATAGCATCTTAATCATGAAAAAAACATCAATACGGCAGGCATGTACCTAGTACTCAACATTAATTGTGAAACTGATGTCTTGCCATTTAACTGCTGACGCTTCAAAATCATTCGGCACCAGCTGAACTGCTGAATGCTAAAAAACATTTACTCAAATCAACAGAGGGGAAGGCCCCTGATACATGAATATGCAATTTCACTATAACATTATCAGTAATCAAAAGAGAGGAAAGTGCTGTTTTACATAATTGCAGCCTTTGTTCTATGGATGCACCGATATGTGAATTCTGGATGTCAATATCCAGTATTTTCCACTGACATATCCATTGATTCTGATACATAAGTATTTGTAAAATATACAAACTGGAACCTACACAAGCATTCCTCAGAAATGTAGCATTTATTTGCATAGGCTTGGAAATGCAGTAAAATGAATAGCATGCAAATATTTTAGCAGAGTAGCCAAGCAGTCCCTAAGATTTTGCTCAATAAATGTATCAAATATTGGAATTCTCAGTCAAATCTATGATCAATAAACTTTCTAGAATATATGGCAATACCAATGTGACTCCAATATCATCAAACATCCCTACTATGCTCCATTAAAATAGGAAAGGGGTGTTGTAGCTACACCGTCACAGACGCTGGACTGATATGGGAAAAAAGTAAACGTAGTTTGCTTAAAAGCAAAATCGTTCTTTAATGCTTATATGATTTACTGTCATATGCAAGTTTGGTCAAACTACAAGTTTTGTTGATTTTCAGAATGAAAATAAGTTAACACATCATATACAGGGAACACACTTAAATACTTAAATATGGAATTTTTCTATTTTTCATGCTGTATTTCAACTTTTGCTGAGTTTAACATATTGGAACAAAATAAAACACAAAATATGAAACGAGGTTGTGCACTTTTTGATTGTTTTATTTTTTTCCATTATGTTAAATTCAGCAAATAAAGAGTAATTGTGCATGAAAATGTGCAGAAGTGAGTTCTCTTTAAAAGATGTGTTAACAGTGGTGCATGAATGTTTGTAAACACTTCAGAATTTTCTATATTCCCGCACAGATTTGACCTAAAACTTCATCAGATTCTCACACTCTAATATCACTTAAATCAACAAAACATGACTGTACATGCTCATTCCGACAGACTGTAATACACTACAGGAAGTGTAGGGGGTGATATGGCTTCTATCGTTTCACTGCACCATAAAAAAGTAGAAGTCACTTGGAGATAAAACTTTAAACGATGGTGGTCCTGCAACTACAGAAAGTGAACCATACTGTATGTTTAGTCTAATAATAGTCCGTGTACAACAGTTAATTAATTAGCAGCTCTAGTACTGTAGCATCCATTCCTGAAGTAAATGTAAGCTTAAAGACTCAACATCTGACACCAAGAGACCGATGTGTACCGTTTAGTTCATCCTTTAAAGCACAATTCTGTCTTTTCTCCTGATAGTGCACTCTGCACTGACTGTGTCTGAGGCTGCAGGTTGTGACTCAGCACCATAAGTACAGTAAAAGGTCAGCAGGTCCTCACCTAACCAGTCGTTAAATTTCTTCACCTCCGACGGCAGCCCCAGCTCAGTGAAGTCACCCGTGTGGAGCAGGACGTCGCCGTACGGCATCTGGATGCCATCTGTCCTCGAGTGCGTGTCCGAGACGCAGACAAAACGCGTATGACCCGCCGGCTTAGGAGCATCGTAAGGAATGGGTTCCACCCTGTGGAGAACAGCAGTGAGTCAGGATCAGAATCGTGACTTTCACTGGTTAATCATCATCATATTACACACTTCTACACTCAAACACACACTGCATCCCTCATTACTGCTAGTCTCACAACATGACAATCAAATCTCTGAAAGCTTTATTCTGTATTTGTCCCCCCTTCTAATTTCAAAGGGCTCATATGTTACATTTTATTGCCTTTTATTTTGTTCCCTGGGGTCCACGTACAAAAACAGGTGTAATTCATTTTTACCTGACATGGTCCCAACCTCTCTTTGTTTTTTTACTGCTTCATACATATTCAAATGACATCTGTTCTGATTGGCTGCCTTGTATGGGGTCTCATTCAAAGAGTAATCCAGGTTGAAACACTCCTTATAACTTATAACTATTGCTGTAGTCTCAATAGGCAGATTTGTATAAATGTGTAGGTTTTTGTGACATCACAAAAACAATGAAGTCAAAGCAGGATGTTTTTTTCAGCTAAATTTCCATATTTTAACTATATGGACTGGGCAGTGAATGGTGCGTTTTGAAACTTTAACAATGTTTACATGCTACATCAAACTATTCGGGTTTTCCATGATATGGGCCCTTTAACGAAACAGCCATATTACCCTGTAAGGAAGGCTGGGCATTATGAAGATTGTGGATATTTATCGCTATTGTGATAATGTAGGTCACAATATGCTTTGCTGAGAATATCACAGATATCATCAGTGCTTAAAGAACACTAATCAACTGCTAAGAATAATTAGCCCTGCTTAACTGGATTTAGTGCAGCATGGTACATTTTTTTTAAATGTGGCACTTTTTGTTCTTTTTACCCTCCCTTTGTTCCACCAGATGCCAGAAAAGAATATTATGATAAGCACTCAAAACAACACAATTACATTTACAGACTGGCACAACAGCCAAGCTCACTATAAATTTATATTTTCATTAAAAACTTTCACAATAAGAGACATTACAATGTTAGAAATAAAGGTTCTGTGCAGGTACATTTATCATTCATTACAGTGGTTTTAAGGTCCGGTTGTGTACCTTAAATAAGTTTTTCCAAGTGAAAAGTACATATTTCCTTTTCATAACCAAATGTTTTAAAACAGGACAATAAAATAAAAGCCTGGAGACGAGACGGGGTGTGTGGAGTCAGTACAACTTAGAAAATATAATGTCAGTGGTTATGGTACAATTATGTTCCCTGACTCAAGGTACTGAGATGTACCCTTGAGGGTACCAATGACAATGACAAGAGGGGTACTGCCCCAGTTTTTTCTCAAAGCAGACAGAATAGTAAATGTAGTGGTTAGATAAACCGTAACCATTAGATAAACAGTATCTGCAATGATATTTAAGTTGGTCCATGAAAACACATTATCTATGTTAACCAATTTCACGTCTACATTTGAGCAGCATACTTAAAATACTATGTAAAGATCAAAAGCAGATGTTGCTGACATAGCAAAAGGACAAGAAGCCTATAGATGACTTTGATCTAAGCACGATTGGTAAAGGTGTGTTCAGTCTCATATTACTACTTTATTACAGGAATGAACAAGCTTTCATGCCTAGGCACTGACCTACAGCACAGCCTGAACTGGGGAAAAACATCACTGTAGCAAATCAAAGCAGGAGCTTTGACCTGGTCAGTCTGCTTTCATGACAATAGACATCTGGGAAATGCGAGGTCACTTTATGGCCTTGCTACACTTTTAGATGATATTGTATGGTACATTTTCTGTGTCGTAACTCCATTTCTTTCTTTTTTTTAAAACCTGCCATTTATGGATAGAACAATAGAAATAGCCTAAAATTACATTACATTAAAGTACACTAAAAGGGCCCATTTCCTGTAATTTCTTTGTGTTTTATATCTTCCCCCGAGACCCACTTATGACATTTGTATGGGTTTATGTGCCAAAAACAGTCCTAATTCATTTTTATGTGACCATTTTCCAGCCTCTATTTATCCCTTAGCATTAAACAGGCTGTTTTTGACATCGTGTCTTTAAGACTCATATATGTAAATGAGCTCTATTCTGACTGGCTTCATTCAAAAACCAATATGGGCTGAAACACTACTTCAGTGTGAGTGTGTGGGGCTAAACTTCTGTAGGCTGAATAAACAAAAAAAAATTTCACAGCTCAATTTGCATATATGACCTGGGGAGTGAAGTATATTTTTAAACAATGTTTACATACTATGTCAAACTTTTATTTCAAAAAAGCGAGGAAAATAACATTTTTCATGATATGCGCCCTTTAAAAAATATTTCCTGACTTTTATAAAATTATCATTTTGGGCATGAAACTATAAGTTAATAGCGACAAATTGGTGTGACACATTTATTAACTATTCTCACGAAATATCTATCACATCTACTTCCCAACATCTTGCTGTAAAGGGAATTTTTCCAATCGAGGCCAAGTCGCTATGTGCTAATACACATGCTTTATCCAAAATGTCACATCTATGACATCTCTCTCCATCTCCCCTTTTCTCCAGAGCCTTTAATTGTGCAGTTAGGTCCCACTGGAGGCAGTGGAGGTCCGGGCTAATCAGCCTGCTCCATTCTTCTCCATCCCAACGCCCCTCATTAGACCATCATCAGCATCAGTCAATAGCCACCTCACTGAAAGCTGAGCTCTGCCCCGCAGGTCAAAGAGCCATTGTTAAAGGGCTAATCAACTGAACTAACCTTTGACCCTCCCCTGGTTAATAAGTACAGGAACAAGACGGCAGCCTTGCGTCGCACATGCCAAAACATCTTCATTATCGTTACAGAGGACAATGGGCACAAAAGGTGGAACCCAACGTCTTGAGTTCTGGTGCCGTACCAGCTGTAAAGGGTTGGTTTTTACAGACAAAGACCAAAAAAATGGAGAGAGAAAGATTTTTTAAATGCAGCATCTGCAGAAATCATATTTACAGTAGTTCACTCTTAGCTTCATGAAGTTAAATCTCTGGCACTACACTTCATTAGAATTTGGGATACCGGACATTCAAAGCGTATGAAATTTAAGGAGCTCAGTCAGAAACACTTCAGTTCTATGGATAAAAGAACGAGAATACAGAAAATCCAACATCTAACTTCAGTTTTTCCACATCTATCTGCCTCTGACCTACATACAATTAGGTGTTATACAGCTAAATAAACATTTAGTCCCAAACTGAAAACTCCACCTCATTCATTGACAATCCCAAACAAAACCCAGCAGGAATCAGAGACCACCAGGTGGACGTCACAAAAGCAGCCAGATGTCCGTTCTAAACCATTCTTTCAATCAATCGAATCAATCAAGTCAATCTGCCAATTACAGAAGCGCTTCCGAACGGCCCCAGCAGGGCCGAACTGAGCGAGCGAGCGGCACTCACATGTGTACATGAGGGGGCTGGAAGCGGCTCTGGTTGATGTTGTAGTGTGTGAAGGCCTGTGTGGGATTGGAGCTGTACTCATCCACGGAGATGGTCACCTTCCCCTGGGAGGAGCCTTTGCGCGCCATGGCTCCGCTGGCTGGGGCATGGGCAGGTCAGTGAGCAGCAGGTCTGTCCGGCACTGCAGGCATCCTCCAACACCCGCCGCTCTCACCTCACCTGAGCCCCAAGCTCACCTGCAGGGGTGCCGGGGCAAGGAGAGAAAGGAGGGCAGCCGTTAGCTTTTCCGAGGGGCATTACACAAAGCACCAATCTCACGTTCCCGCTCTCAATAACTGAACTCCAACAGCAGGACTTCTTTTGTCTTCTTCTGTTTAAAACCTGTATATCTCACTTTGCAATATTGGCTTGGGATCATTCTTCTATGCATAATGTAACACAAGACTGCAAATACACATCACGTCCAAACAGAAAACAGAGATAAAAACAAAGAAATTAGAAAATTTAAGTGCACTACTGCATAATGCGCTGTTACAATTTTATAACTATCGTGACTAAAGGAACAGATCTAATGATTTTAGTCGCATCCAGCCAATATCTGACCCACTTAACAAGGTCAGCGTTGGTGCTGATACCTAACTAGTGTATTGGATCGGCGCATATCTAGTACAAAGAGAAATGTCTCAGTCTGGCATGTAATTTAAGCCAAAAATCAAGACTTACCAACATGAAAGGAGACAAGTAAAACATTTTGATGCATAATTGTGATGCAGTTTATGACAAAAATGATAAATATTATCATACTGCCCACTCTAGCCCTGACTTTAGGCTTGAGTTATCTAAGTAACTGAGAAATACCCCCTTGGTGAGGGTTTCACAAAGCAAAATTTCATAGTAAACTGGACAATTGGGTCACAATCATGCATCAAAATACATTACGAACAGTGATGTTTCATTACAAAGAGAGCATAATTAGTCATGTGTAACTGGATTTACTTTACAGCAGGTGAAACACTGAATAAAAGTCACTGTACTCAGTTTTTCACATTTTTTTTTTTCCTCTGTTATCAAACTTAAGAAAAACTAAAATGTCGTGAAGCATCAAGTATCACGACGTTATGTGTATTCACCCAAGACTGTTCAGTATGGGACATTCCTACCTGGACAATCCTCATCGTAATCTGAGAAAACTTTGCTTTGTTCAATATCCACCAAGTCATTACAGACACATACGCCGCAAGAAAGCAAACCACACTACCAGTGGCATAAACAAGGAGTCACTGAAATCTGCCTTCACCCATATTTACCACTATGCTCCACTTTGGATCACAGCTGAGCAGGTTACTATCTGTAATAGCCTGGTCCAATGTTGCTTTTAAAAGTCTACATCAGACTAAACTGCTCCAAACTGGCCTATCTGAATTTCCTGCTAGCCCTGCTATGGATTTGCCACTGTAAATATTTACCTGTCACCAAACGTAGAGCGAATCACAATGAGAGGCAGCCATCAAAACCGCTTACTGCTCCTGCCAGCCTATATCTGAGCGTTTTGGGTGATAGGTCATCGGTTCATAAATCTTCTGAGGGAGCCATTTGCTGCAGGTCGTGCTAACCTTTCGACACAAACTTGAACTCTGCCCTCAGAGGGACCACTCGGAGGAAATAAAGCCAGCTAAAGAGCCACTGGTCGGGAGATATTAAGCTCAAGTCGAAAGCCCCAGACTCCATAATTGTCCAACAACAGAAAGCTGGCGTCTGACTAGACGTAGTTTTTTTTTTTAGTACATTACACACAGGTTATGCAAAACCTGCCCTGCTAAGGCTAGAAAGGTCCATGAAGGTCAGAAAATAACACAGAAATACGAACCATTCTGATATTTCAGCCATTCCGCTTTACATTAAAGCCACTTTTGCGTTTGGCTCGAGAAAAAAACCCTAAAATGTATCAATTAGCCACATCGCTAGTTACAATGTTAAGAGATTCACGCGCGCCTCCCTCGTGCACTCCTTTTATGTGGAGAAGCAGAAAGAGAGGAAAGAGGGCGATGAATGAACGCTAACATATAAACTTGAAGGCTGTGAAAGGTTTCAGTGAAAACCAACAGCCAGAGGAGGAAAACCTTTCGCTCCTGACAAGCAGAGCCGCCGCGAACTCACCGCTTTTGTGCCTCGCTTTCTTCTTTCCCTCAGCGATGTTTTGCCTTTTCCCCCCCTAAAAAAACGACCTTTTCCCCCGCGAGCTCCAAATGTTGGCGGGTCTGCCGGTCCGTGCAGGTCGACGGTGACGGAGAGAGGGCTTCTTTTTTGGACGGGGGGAACTGGAGAGGTGGAAAGGGCAGAAACCTTCGACCCCCGGGGGTCTCCGTGCTCTGCTGTGGCGCTGAAATGCGACAGACAGACGAGGAAGGAGGGAGACGGAGCACAGCAGAGACTCGATGTCGTAGGAGGAGGAGGAGGAGAAAAAAAGAGGAGGAAGAGGAGGAGGAGGGGTCAGAGAGCACGGCAGCAGTGGCCTGGCTGCCATCACGCCCAGGTGGAGGAAGTTACGGCCGTTTTGCTGAAGCTAGGCTACTACTAATTCACTAAAGATCACTTAGAAGTAGTGAAATTGTAAAGAAAGGCGTGCAGATGTGCAGCCTGTACAGGAAGAAGAGGCCATAGAGGGCAGAGGGCTGCCTGTTATGTGATCAGATCTCTTTTTAGGCTTGTGGAAGTGTCAGAATATGGATTTTTCTTTTTAAAAAAATTCTTAATTTTATATTTCTTTGTAGAGAAACTTGTGAGGCACAGTCTGGATGAAAGGAAAACAGTAGAAATGACCAGATTTAAAGAAGACCTTTCCACATAATGCAATCATTGAGATGTAAACAAAGTCATTTAGAGTGTTTTAATGTGAAATGGTTCATTATAGAGGCTCAGATTTCTTTACAGTGGTGGTGATGGGAACCAGGGGTCTCAAACTCTGCAACCCAAGTATAGCCATTTTATTTACTATCAGAAACCACCAGTGAGCTTACACATCTGAGGTTTGGTATGTAATGTTTTTAATGGTAAAATAGAGCTAAATCTGCAAAAAAAAAGTTTTCTTTGGGTTCTATTTTGTCTTGCAACACCATGCATGTTCCTGTCTGCCCTGAATAGAAATAAAGCAATATGTTTTGGGCCAAAACCTTCTCAAAACAGTTGTAGAACAATGTCTCAGGCAGCTTTTAGAGGCATTAAACTCATCAGACGTCTGGTTCCTATCACCACCACTGTGAACAGTTCTGACTCGGTACAGAGCATTTTATACCAAAACCACTCTGAATGACTTTGTTTACATCTTAACTGCTTAATTACTGAGACATTTAGTGTGATTAAATCTCATTTTGATCTTAAACGAATAGTCTGATGTTTTCATAAAAGGTTTTCATGGTAAACGTGATTTTGGTTTTCTTTTTTTAAAATAAGAGCTTCTAAACTAAACTATTGCACAACAATGAGCAAAATTACCTACAGTAGGCGTCTATAAGGGGCATCGAACAAAGCCACAAAATCACTGCTGCCTTTATAGCACTAATATAATACACTTTTCTCCAACAGTTGTGCTTTCATGGCTGTTTTACGGTGAGATGTAATTCTGTAACATGCCTGAGACGTTACTACTGTGTGCTCATTTTAATATTGCATTCTTGCATTGCTTTCTAGTTTCCTCCCCCTCAGGGATGCAGGAAAAAGAGGCTAGGATGGCCGGCATACTAGCTATCAAGCTAAGAGGTAAATAATGAATTTACGATAAACATTTTAGATGCCCCAGGCTTGTAACTCACTCACTCACACATGTTTAGCAGGCTGAAGAATCTCCATGATTGGGCCTGATAGCATGCAAGTGACTACTGGTTCCTCCTAAGAGCTGAGAGCTGCATCAGTGACACTTTGTGTTATTGTTGCTGAATAATGTTTAAATGCTCATTCATGATTCATACAATAACCTATGGAACTGTTTTTATGTTTGCAGTTGTATGATGTCCTTCTAAACCCAATGTTTTATGCCATGTTAAAGCCTATTATGGGGTTTTTCCACTGCACAGTAGGTTACAAATCCAAAATCAGAACTGCTTGTGCCTTGGTTGAGTACTTGTGTCCATTTCCTTCTCTTAATCTTTAGCTAGTGTGGTTACATGATTTCTTATGTGATTCTACCATAAACAGTAAGTACAAACAACAGTACCTAACAATGGAGGAGCTTCATATTCTGATTTACCCTTTATCCTGCTTTTGGTTTTACAGTCTTTGTTTTGATGCCCCTGCTCAAATTCCACGTTTCAACAATTTTTTAAGTGATAATAAGTGAACACATGATCTACAGACAACATACTTTGTCTTAGCATATTGGGAAAATAACATAAAATGAGGCTTGTGCAAAACGTATGGCACATATTTTATATTTTATGTATATAAATAGAAATTATGCACTAAAATTAACAGAAAAATGCAATATTTAAGTCTGTTTCTTGTAGAGTATGTGTTAACTTATTTTCACGTAGAGAATCAACAAAACATTAATTCTTTTATTTGACCAGGACTGTTTCAACTTTTGCATATGACTGTGCGTGAGAGCCATAGACAGTAGTTCTGACCAGAAGTGACACCGCAAGGTGTTTCTGTGATGATTACGCTTGACCAGTCAGTGGATAGCACCATTTCTAGCTACACCCTTACACCATGGCTTGGCACGCTTGGTTCCCCAACAAGACAGGTAACCAAACTCAGAACAAACACTCAGGCTCACTCAGCAGTGGAAATGATGAGAAAATGCGCGATCATGGATTTGTAATCATACTGAACAGCATTGCTCGGTGGGAAAACCCTGTTGTAGATTATTTCTCCCGTATCTTACTTTATATGCATGCATTTCACAAACAAAAACACAACAAAGAAAAATATTTTTGCGGTAAAATAGCTGGACTACTGCTTTAATGCAAACGACACACATACACAGATGATTGACTCAGGCGCTCATTTGCTTCCACAGGGACTCGGCTGTCACTATTGATGTGAGAGGTATGTGCGTGTGTCTGAGGGAGGGAGAGAGAGATGGGAGAGGTATTCTTTGAGGAACAGAGGGTGATGGAGGCAGGGAAGACACACTGACAGAAGGTTTCACTTCCATGGCAACCAGGCGGCAGTGTGTTTCATGCCTTCTGTCTGAAAGCTTTGTAGAGTGTGTGGCACCATCGGCTATGCGTTCTCCCCCTGCTGCTGAAAGAGAGAGCATCACTCACATGCTGCTGTTTGCCTCTCCCAGAGCAGCTATGGGCAAACTGAAGCATAAGAATTGTTATTACAGTACTGTGCAAAAGCCAGAGACCACCCTTTTGTTTATTAAATTGGCTTGACAAAGCCAAATTACTGTTCTTCGTTTTCCTATTCTATGCCTTTTTGTTTCATTTTCAAGGGTCACAATTTGTAGGGCAGAATGACGCAATTTTGCAGGATCGTGGAGCCTTTACAAGAGTAGTATGCTTGTGCTTTTGGGACCAATCAAACGTACGGGTTTCACATGGTGTTCGTTCTAACAAGATTTGTTTTCACACAGGAAATGAATGGCAAAATGTTGAGAAAATTCAAATTTGCGTACAGACTTACATACATACTAGCACATATATGTATCACACATATTAGCAACCACCTGGGATACCATAACCAGATAACTTGTAAAGAGGAGAATTATCAATCTGTAATGTCTTCCACATTAGAGGGCGCTCCCGAGCAAGTCCAAAATGAATGGGTTAAGATGTAGCATTGCAGCAAATTCATAGTTTATAAATGCTTAAACATTTTTAATGTAAATAAATACATTTATTACCTGAACACAGAACAGCATAAAACATTTTCACACCGCTGTCATATTTTTAATAGCTTTTGAACTGAGTTTATGGAAGATTAAAATGGTGCCTCATGTACATTCATGACGTTAGTGAATATGGACAGCCAATAAGCTGCCCTGCTCGCCAACCAATCAGCACTCAGTAGCAGTAATGCTAGCGTCCTGCTGCCCAAAACCTGTTTGCTGCAGAAAAAAGAAAAATAAGTAAGTTTCCTTTGCTTTTTTAGTGAAATACATCCTTCTACTTTCTAAAATTAAAGGAAAGTTCTGGCAAGTGATTTGAAACAATTTTAACTTTTCGTTTTGCTCCCATTCATTGAGGACTCACTTGCGGGCGCCATCTGGCATTTTGCAGTCCTGTTTTTGATATAATGGGGGAAACAGGAAGAGGCCAGGCTCCTCATACACTGGCTCTGCCATAGCAATGGTCAAGCAACAACTTAGCAACCACCTGGGATGACAGAGCAGTTGCCTAGCAACACCTTCATAACCACCTGGGGTTTCACAGCAATTGCTTTATCAAGCCAGCTTAAAGTTCGTTCATGTACTTCCGCCTTCTAGTTTAATTTGCAATCAATACAGCTATTAAGTAGGTCTGTACGATTTGGGGAAAATATCTAATTGCCATTTCTCTGACCAATATTGCAAATTCCTATAAATTGAAGTCCAGGCCTGCTTTTTGACCAGTTAGTTGTGGTTGTGATGTCACAGCACATGAGTGTTTGGTTGCTTCTGATTGGTCTAACTTATTCACAGGCAGTTTACAAGCTCTATGTTATTAGATTAAATTTCCTCAATCATAACTTGTTCTTTATAATGTGAGCTACAGGTATAATGCAATTTGAAAATTGTACCCTTTCAGACTGGCATTTGGATATGTAAACAATTAAACCTTAGGCCTACTACTGAGTACATGTTATTCATTTTTCAGTGTCAGAAAAAAGCAGAAGATATATTCAAAAGAAAACAGGTACAGTGTATAATATCAGATCTATCAGTATTTAATTTGTACACTCTTTACTTTTTTGCACCTACTGCCATGTTAAGTCTTCTATTCTTCCAATCTTAAAACCAACCAGTTACAGCTGCGTCCTCCCAACAGCAGCTTTTCCCAAAGATCTCACTGACAGTATGTTCTCCTTCAAAGAGACACTAATATTCACACAAGCAACTACCTGAACTCACCTTAGTTGCCTTGTATGTTTCTCTCAAGGAGATCTTTCTGAGGAGATTAGATGTGCGATAATCCAGGTGCATAAGAAGGGAGAAAGTCAAAGGGGAAAAAAACAGGAGTTTCCAAAACTGGAGTTCAAAAAATGATACAAATCTACAGAGATAATGGGGCTCCAAACAACCCCCTGCAAGACCTGGTCGACACCAAAACTGCCCCCATCAGATTAACAGCACTTAAAGCTTTCATCTTTGAGAGAGAGGAGAAAATCAAGCTGCCTCAGATCTGAAAACATCCACAGGTGTTTCTGTCCATCCTTCCACTGTGAGAAGACAACTCAGCCCTGTGGGTCTGAAAGGATGTGTAGCTGTCAAGAAGAACCTCACCGAG